GCTTTCTTCTCCTAATGCATAATTACTTGAGGAATGTATAATATAATACAATATAATTATGGTATCATAATGTTGGCTAATGTAATATAATACCTCAATTATATTAAGGCCCTATTGAAGCCCTGAAACTCAGGTGAAAAACGCCGCTTATCAATTAATCGAAAGTCGATCGATAAGATAATCAACTAATGATTAATGAATTAATCGATAATTTGCATCCCTACCTAAAATGGATTTTTATGACACATCTAAAGCTAACAGAGATGTTATAGAACCATGTGGAGTGAATGCTTTATTTTGATCTCCTTTAAAAGTCAGCACATTTTTACCCCAAACTGTCAAAAATCACTAATAGTTACTACAACTGAGTGACAAAATTACAATAAACGGTTTCATTATCTTGTTATAAGAGTGTTTTCAGATGACTAACACCCACAAATAGGGAAACAAAATGATGTCTATAGCAATCTAAATAAAGGTTTTGAGCAGGTTATTGGGAGGGTTGTCTCATCATCTGTGTGCAGACAAAAGCTCATCTACTTTAAACTGAGGAGTCTCTTTAAAGCTGAAATCGCAGTATCAAGAGTGTTTGCAGTGAAAGTATGCAGTATGTCAGCGAGTTTAACTAAACTGGATTACAGGGACATAAAAATAATTGTGCAATTTGGATTACAAGGAGAATTGATACGTTTTTTTTTGTTTTGGTTGTGATCATGACATGGCTTTGAAGTCAAGTTAATTACAGGAAAAAAAAACATGTGTTGTGTTTGCAGGTACTCCTGTGCACGATGACGTCAGAGTGGGGACCGGAAGTACCTTCAACATCTGGAGCGTCCTCCCACGGCTGCCCATTCACCAGCACGTTCACCTGGACAGCTGCCTCAAAGTTCTGCAGATGGAGACACCAGCAGACTCAAGACAAATAATATTCTCACTTAAAGACAACCGAAACAGCAAAAAATCGGATTTAATCACACAAAGGGAAGATTTTCTCCGAAATAAACGCGTTACTTTGATTTTTAGAATTGGCCTTCACTAGCTAAGACAAACACCATAACGAAGTTGGCCTAAAATAATAATTTACAGATTCAAAGTGTCAAATATGAAGTCAAATTCAACCCGTTTGCCTGTTTAAACACTGTACTAAATGTTGTAAACAAGACCCACCGCCAGCAGCTCCTCCAGTAAAACTCGTTTCGTCTCTTCTGCAACCTCCGGCTGTCCGTCCAAAGCGCGCTTTAAAATCTCTTTACATTTGTTTATCGTCTCGGTTAATCTTTTCTTCGACGTAACTTCAACTCTGTATTCCTGATTTAGTTCCTCGCTGGGCGAAGTTTCGCTCTGCGGATGCTCCATCTTTACCGCCAAGTTTGTTCGTTTGACGTGAACCGGAAGTAGAAATCAAACTTCCGGGTCCGACTGTAACTGTGTCCTCCACTGGAACAACAATAAGAGGAGAGGAATGTTCCGGCTGTTGGCTTAGCGGCTGAAAGAAAGAAAATATGAATTAGACATTGTTTGCTTTTTAAAATTAACTTATTTTGAATAGATTTTGGCTTTGTTGACTTCGTTCACATGAAAATGTCAGGGGTACTTAAATTCATAAGCAGATAACAGCAAATGAGAAGATTTAGAAATACAAAGGTGCATTTTCACTTACCTGTTTTTTTCTTTGTTTGCTGTTGACAATATAACGAGTCATGCCTTAAACAAAGATATTAATTTCTGACAAATTATAATGTTTAAACTTTGCATCAGCATCCTAACTAAATTTTTTAAACTGTTATGATAAATTACAGAAGGTTGAGCGACACCTTATTCCTCTACACATTTCCAGTATACTGGACTTAATATGTTTTATCAAAGTTTGTTCTTTTTTTTGTCTTTAGGATCTGGAGGAGGTGATCCAGAGGACCAGAGAGGTGAGCAAAAGAAGCTCATTTTGCACGATTATTTCTTCATAAATGTCACGTTTTATTTCCAAAACAAACACTATGAGAAACTCTGACAGAAAAAGTTGATTTACGATCAGGCTTGAAAACATATCAAGAGTCTGAATTGTACTTTCTCCCAGTTAGTCTAACTGGGAGAAAGGACAAAGGGGCCTGAACCTGAGCTAGCTCGCTCTCCCGTTATATAAATGTATAGATTATTCCTCCCAGCTGCTCTCAGCTGGCCGTCCTTTTCTTTGTTATTCCTAAAGTTGGGTTGAATTCCTTTCTCACAGCCCTCTGGTGGTTCAAAGCTCTGCCCCCCCCCCCCCCCAGGTGGTAAAATGACCCTCACAGCATCCGTATTCAGACTTGTTTTCCTGAGCCGATTCTCAGAAATGGGAGAGGACCTGTATCAGG